GCAATATGTCTTTACAGCATTGCAAAGCACGACAAAAGTGCATTAACCTCCCCGGTCACAGCATGGTTATGGACATACATTTATGAGCACTGTCTGCAGACTCCAATCATTTCTGCTTGGACGGATAATGCTTTCGTTCATTGGAATTTCGTCGATGTGAGGAGTTGTCTTGAAAAATATGATTTGATTGGGATTAGATATTGGACATACGCCATCGGACAGCTCGCAACCAAACATTCCGTTCTCAAGCTCCTGATAATGGGACGAATGCGGACGGTTCATGTCGAGGATTATTTCATGGCTGTCCTGGAGTATGAAGAGTTCTTGAAGGGATTGCCAAAGTCCAGTATCCCTGATCGTGCAACTCTCTACCTACAATTGGGAAGTTACCTACAACCTGCCTCACAAGGATCACATTCTAGAACAGAATGGACATCAGACGAATTGTTCAAAGCCATGGAGGGCTATGGAAAGTTGTTGGCTACGAAATGATTCGAAGCCGCGTCATGAAGAAGAAGGGATGAGGAGAATATCGGAGCAGCTGAGTGCCAGTATCACAACAGCCAGTGCAGTTTTGTGACCTCATTGTAATGATTTCTGGACGGGTGCATTGCTAAAGATGTGTGAAATTTTCATTTCGTCACCTTTTTTGTTAACCGCTGTTATTTTCAGGGTGTCTCTGTATTAATGGAACTAGATGTAATATGAATGCTAGGTTTGAAAAACTGTTAGCGTTGGTAAATGTACGAACAACACCAAATTCTGTAAACATTCAGACCGGTTCAGTAATGTCAATTTCGATCTTTCTCCGTTTAGGATCCTTGTTACTGTTCACTTTCCTGTAATAAAACATTGTTTCAGGTATTATGTATAGCTAGACGCAAGCCATGGACCTTGTCTCTGGTAAACCAACCCGTGTCTTTTCAAGTTTTCATTGCTTATAGCTGCATTCTTTTTCATAATTCCGGAAATCTGTTTTAATGAAAACTCTGACACTTTGCTGTAGTCTTCCAATGCACATCATCCGGGTGTAGCATATGAAAGGGCTTCGGTCATTTTGCATTTCCCGGGTGAAAATTTATTTGTTTTCAATCGCAGTAAGGTCACAGGGCACGGGTACTGATAGAACACACCACATAGAAGCATAGCGTAATGCATGAAGTACACGTACCAGTACGTCACCCACAGTTGAAATGTACTTTCAACAACCGATCGTCTAGGATCACCTTGCTTCCAGGATGCTCTCAAAGCAGCCGTCTAATACCAGTAATAGAAATTATGTGTGCACCTTCATTCACCGACAAGGACAGGGTGGTTGTGAATTTTAGATTGGGACTTGTCCCGGGACGAGTATGACCCACAGATGAGCTATAAGCAGCAACAATGGCAGTGACTAATTCGCAGTATAATGTGCCTTTTAGAGTCACTAGAGTGCTTTGGCTGGCCTCCGAAACCTCTGTAATTAAGGTTATGGTGAAATACTAGCGCCGAGGTCAATAGCCATGGTGAAAAATACTATGAAGTAAGTTGAGACAGCTGTAAAAGTCGCTGGAGAACAGGGAAGAATTTTTAAGTTGTGAATTTATTCGAGCAATTGTGTGAAACATTCATTGGTAGTCAATATGGTGGGGCCAACACCTCGACTCTGTGACAATGCTTGATCTAGAGGGCGCCTGTGGGGAGGGGGCTCGACACCCTGAAGTTGGTTTTGCTTGTTTGTGTACATGTCGATACTGGATAGTATGGTTTTCTTTCTTCTGACTTCTTCGACTTCACGTACCATGCAGCCCGAGCTGAATCTATCGGAAAATACTCAGTCGACACCGCTCATAAAATCTGCCAAAGCAGTTGCCCTTAAACCCAGACAACATGGTGATGAGATAATGCCTTCATCCATTACGCATTAGCTCTTCTTCGAATCCACGTCAAACGCGGAGCAGAGCACGAATGACACGTAGTCGTTCGCTGCACCCGCAACGACTAGTTAAGTGATTATTTTGCTCGAGTAGCGGTAGATGGCTGCAGCTGTGTTGAACAGTGATAGGCGGTGGAAAGAGAGAGTTTTAGCGCGGGTTAGCGATATAAGGGCGGCTGAGCAGCAAAGCCCGCCACCACCTTCCGCATTTATTCGGGAGCATAGTTGACTTAGTAAAAAATAAAATGACGAATAGGGTCAGTGCATGCAACCAATGACATTCGCAAAAAAAATGTATTGGCGCATCAGTCCTTCGTCGATGCCGGGTCAATCGCGGAGCAGATCAAGATTGCTGCATGACGCGTGCGCCGCCCTGTGTCTGTGAAGTGATTTGACTACTTGAGTTCAGTGTATTGTGCAAGTAGCAGTGCGTGACTGTAGTCCGTAGCTAGCTGTACTGTCCTCCAGTACCGTGCATGCAATGAAATCAAGTCACGTCACTCAAGAACCCGCCGAGCGCTGCGCAGCCCTAGCCCTGTGAACTACACTGAACAGTGGGCAGCGAAAGGTACATGACGTAATCATGGTACACTAGTCAGTAAGTACATTTGCGAAGAATAAAGTCAGTGCCTGCGATTCAGCCAATGACGAATCTTTAAATTTTTTTGCCATCTTCAATACCTACTACTTCTACTACTACTACGAATCTTTTGACGATCACGTAATACTAAAAGGTGTGCGTACGTGGGTAATGAGTTGGGCAAGTACTTGAACTTAAAGGACAGACAGCGCACTCGTGGCCATCTTGACATGGAGTGGCGGTTGTGCCTGTGACCAATGCACAGTAATAATAATAGCCAGCTACATGTGCGTGTGTACATCATGGAGTCTGTAGCATGCAGCTCTGCACACTGCGAGCCGTGCAGAGATGATTGCGATATTTATTACCAACTAGCAGCACCCCCGCCAGCGTTGCCTGGCCGAATGTGGCATGCGGGTGAAGCAAGTACATGAACAGCACACGTGCTCAGCACGTGGTGGTGGCCAGACCGCTGAAGTCCTGGTGAGGGAGGTTCTTCATCGTTGGAAGGAGAAGGAGGGACGTCTGTTACGCCTTCGGGAGGCTGGTCAGGGTTGTCCATCACCTGGTGGCGGATGAAGCGGCTCAAAAAATTCATAAACTTACGAACAAAAGTGCGATGCGCTCTTCACTGCAGATCAGATGCAGAGTGCAGTCAGTGCAGATCTTTTGTATCCTTTTGAGTCTTGTTGCAGATGTTTCTATTTGCAGAGAACGGTTCACGTGGTCCGCAGCGCTTGTGCGGCTGCTAGTGCTACCTATGGCCTAGGCTAGGTGGCTACATGATTCGCACGCTTCGCGTGCTCAGTGCTTCTGCGCGCGGCTGCTACTGCTACTCGTACTGATCGTGAGTATAAATAAGTATAAGCGCTACCGCGTACCGCCAAATAAGTATAAGCGCTACCGCGTACCGCCAAATAAGTATAAGCGCTACCGCGTACCGCCGTGCCTACACTGTTCGCACGCTTCGCGTGCTCAGCACGTGGTGGTGGCTACACGATTCGTACGCTTCGCGTGCTTAGTGCTTCTGTGGCTGCTTCCGCTAGCCGCTAGCTACACGATTCGCACGCTTCGCGTGCTCAGTGCTTCTGCGGCCGCTAGCTAGCTACACTGTGCAACACTGTTCGCACGCTTCGCGTGCTCAGGGCAGCGCTGCATGCTCCGCAGCGCTTCAGCGTGACACAAAAACACACGTCACAGGTGCCTCTTCTTTATAAGGAGCGTGACACACACACACACACACAGACACACGTCACAGGTGCCTCTCTTTTATAAGTAAAGATACAAGCTCACTGTCTGCTGCCCACGTCTATGGGTGTCGCACCTAGGTTTCCCGCTGGATCACTAAGAGCTTAGTGGATCAATGAACAGTCAGCCATGGCAGTAATAAACGTTAATAACGATGCGTGGATGCATTGCGACCTTCTTCTGTTACTAGTGTTAGTTCTGAGAGACAACTCATCATTCAGCTACGCTATAGTATAGGTTAGAGCTGAGCTGTCACGTCTCAGGTCTGCCACGTCAGAGCACCGCTCCTTTCACTACACAGTACACTACTCAGTAGTAGTATTAGTAGTAGTATCTTTACTTATAAAGAAGAGGCACCTGTACCTGTGACGTGTGTCTGTGTGTGTGTGTGTGTCACGTTCCTTATAAAGAACAGGCACCTGTGACGTGTGTTTTTGTGTCACGCTGCCCTGAGCACGCAAAGCGCCACTGCCAAAGCAGCGTGGGCTCCGAAGGAGGGTGCAAATTTCATGATCTCCGACGGTTACGTCGGCAAGCGAGCCTCCGCCACTGCCAAAGCAGCGTGGACTCCGCAGGAGGGTGCAAATTTCAAACCAAAATTTAAAGGCCTACTGCGCTGCCCTGAGCACGCGAAGCGTGCGAATCGTGTAGCTAGCGGAAGCAGCCACAGAATCGTGTAGCAGGACAAGTGAATAATTAGTCAGTCCATTGTTCATGATGATCTCCGACGGTTACGGTTACGTCGGCAAGCGAGCCTCCGCCACTGCCAAAGCAGCGTGGGCTCCGCAGGAGGGTGCAAATTTCATTATCTCCGACGGTTACGTCGGCAAGCGACCCTCCGCCACTGCCAAAGCAGCGTGGGCTCCGCAGGAGGGTGCAAATCTATGAGGGAGGTTCTTCATCGTTGGAAGGAGAAGGAGGGACGTCTGTTACGCCTTCGGGAGGCTGGTCAGGGTTGTCCATCACCTGGTGGCGGATGAAGCGGCTCAAAAAAATCATAAACAGTTACTTACGAACAAAAGTGCGATGCGCTCTTCACTGCAGATCAGATGCAGAGTGCAGTCAGTGCAGATCTGGTGAGCTCACCAATACTTCAGCGGTCTAGCCACCACGTGCTGAGCACGTGTGCTGTTCACGTACTTGCTTCACCCGCATGCCACATCCGGCCAGGCAACGCTGGCCGGTGGTGCTGCTAGTGAAGGTATAAATCAGTGTTCTCGATCTTGCTAACCATCAGTTCACAAGCAGTATCTTCAAATCGCCAGGCGAGCTCAGGTATCCCTTTCCCCTGGAAACTGTAGTTGCACCCCGACATCACCAGTTGCAAGTCTCTGCTTCTAGGTAAGTCTAAACTCTGTCAACACTGTCCTCAATTTGTAATGGTTATAAATTAATTCTTTGGGACATCTGCTGGTCTCAAATATCTCTGGACTCGGATGGAGTGCCAAGGTTTAATTTATACAAAAGTGAAAGGACCAAGGAACTGCAAGTAGTTACGCTATACTGTCCACTAACACCACCAGTTAAGAAACACAATTGTAGAACGTCAATGCCGGTCACAGTTGTAGAACGTCAATGCCGTCGGTCAGTGTCGTGCAATGTTTATCGCATGAGCTGATTGTTTACTAACTGGTTGTGTTAGTGGGAGGATAAAACCAGTCTGCCCCCTTAAAGTAGCAGCCTACCCAAACATTTGCTGAAAAATCGAATTTGTAAATTCATATCGAGTGCTACATCAGTTGAAAGAGAATGAATAGCTGCAAAATCTCTGAACATTTTGTCTCGATCTGACCTTCCGTTCAAGAGTTATGGTAGAAAATGTGCCCTTGCAAGGAAAGATTTTTTGTTGCACGCTGTCATTTTTTGGTAGCACTGTATTTTAATCTGAGCAGACCGTGCGCAACTTGTAGTATCATGGAAACACGCGAAAATGTGCAGAATTTTGTTCCAAGTCCAAAAAAGTCCAAAAATCGTGTTTTTAGCCATGTATGGGGCTGCACGCTGGAAGTCCGCCACCGTGCAGCAGGACTTTTGCCAGCACCCCCGTGACGTTGCAGATATGTGGCTTGATTATTGTAGTTGACGGTGATTGAGTGACCTTGGCAAGTTGGTGTCGTGTCGAGAAGTCAGGTAGGAGTCAGTACTAGGCAGTTGTGGAACGTGATGGTTGTCTTTGCAGATTTTTGAGGGTATACTGGATTTGGTGTGGAGCGCTGTAGAAAGGTCTTGCTGTGCAGGTCCCAGCACTGGATGTTGTATCAAAGGTACCGCCTCGTAGCTAATGCTAAACCTAAAAAAATCAAGAATTGACTTGCGTCTGTGGAAGTCTGTGAGACAACGCCCACTCCTACCGTTGTGACAGATTCCAGCTCCACGTTGAGGGGCCCTATCCCACCACCCATACCTGCTTCTGGACTTGTTTTAGGTTTGGATCCCGCGCACGGACAGAATGGGCACGAAAATGTTAATCCGAGTGTTAAAATGTTAAAAATATTGTAAATGCATTCTTTTGGCTCCTGGGTGGCTCGCACACCATGGCACTATGCCGGAATGTTGAGTTTTTCCGGCCTAGAAACCTGTCAGTGAGGGGCAAGAGCTTTGAAATCATGTCCAGAGGGCCAGCATAATGGCAGGAATGTGTGGTCAAAATTTCACTCAACTCCATTGAGAAACACCAAATATACGATCAATTGAATGCCTTGTGAAATGTATGGGTAGGCTGCTACCTTAAGTTGAGAAGTAAGGTTTCCTTAGAGATACATGTAGGTGAGGCTAGTCTATGAAATACCCTCTGGGATCACTGTCCACAGTTTTCACTGACAGTTGTCGGTACTGGTGGTAGCAAAACAATACCTGAAACGAGGCGAAATCATTGACAAAGTATTTTGAGTTTCCATTTCTTCCGTATGTATGTGCAATGTGATACAAAAAATACTTTTGAAGTAAAAATAATAAAAAAAAAGTAAAAACGACCCATCTACTTCAATGGCGTCCGGCCATGACTGAACAAAACAACCCTCACGATTCTTTTGTGTGTGTGTTCTTTGGTATGCCTGGTCTTGTGTGTTGATCCGTGTTGAAAAGGTTTCCACTGCAAGGATCTTAACTACAAGGAGTGATCACCATACCCTAGCAATGGATTCCCATTACCAAGCTGTTCATTTTGATGATAATGCAGCAGTGGAAGTTAGTACTCAAAAAATATTTTTTGCAGTACTAAGCAGTTTTTTAATTGCGTTCCTGATTCATTTAACTTACCGTTTACAACATACCAGAGCATCACGTGACAATAGGGAAGTGTGCACAGATCAAGAAGACTCTGGTATAGCCAGCTCCCAACATGAACCTGAAGATAGTTTCCAGCCAGGGGACCCAGTATCAGTGGAGTATGGGCTGAATAGTGTCCTTTTTGATGTCTGGCAAGCAACATTATTACCTATGCTGTCAGTTGCGGATATCTTTCAGCTGTTGGGCGCGAGCAGACGACTCAGGGAGATGCTGTTGAATGAATACACGTTCAAACGGATATGTCAGGTAACTAGCCACGTGTATTGTCTTGTTGATAAACTTCCTTTCAAGTGTAGTGCTGCAAGTGATTTCGAAGGAGGCTTTGAGTTGTAGCGTTCCTTTAATTATAGGTTAGTGCATGGCAGGGAGGGCCTTATGGCTTGTTAGTGCCCGACAGGTTAGCCTGAGGGCCGTAGGCCCGAGGGCCACCCTGAAGGGCACAAACAAGCCATAAGACCCTCCCTGCCATGCACTAACTATTTTAGAACGAGGTTACATGCATTATCTCACTTCCATTATGCTTGTGTACCATTATATTGGGTAGTTTTGTTGTTTGTGTGCAGAGAGACTTGATGTGGTATGAAAGAATATTTTCTTCTGTTTAGTTATGGTAACTCAGCACCACTTAGGACTACTAAAAGTAGAAAAGCAGCAAATGAAATGCTGGGCTCTTATTGTGAGCTTCATTCTTATTCATAGCTTGTGGAGCTATTTAGGCAAATTAGGGGCTTTGAGGGCCCCTTGTCGATACCTCTAATGACTTTGATCTTCGGTTTTATAAGTTTCCACAAGCTGTTGACAAAGGAAATTCGTACAGATGAAAGAATACGGGAAGCAAAACCCGTACACACTTCTGAAATGCGTAGCTTTTAGTAGTACACCGTATATTTTATGCAGAGTTCATTACCTGCACCGTACTATAATGCATACAGGGAGTTGTACGCACCAGTTTAGAGTATATTCAGCGGGCTTTAAACTAATCCAAGGCCCTCGACGCATCATCAAGAGTAGTAAAATAACGATTGAGCGGGATTTAAACTCTGATAAGGCCCTTGGCGGGAATGTCGCTGATTGGTCGTTTCCTGGACAACGAGACAGACCTCGTTCTAAAGTGTTTTAAATGCAGTCCCTCACTTCTATCCGGACACGCCTACGTTACATTTGAGGATAACGGGAACTTGTTGCTGGTACATGGACGGTTAGAATATTCTGAGTCACTTTTGCATACTTCGATGGTGTGATGTAATGCCACAAAGTTAGCAGTTGCATTCTTTGTTGTGTCATGTTCTCCATTTTTGTCCTGTTTTGTGGCATACAGCATCGCTACCAGCTGAGTGTTGATTTGGGCGTGGAATATATGTCAACAGCTAAACATCTCTTTATTGCCCACAGCGTGGCTAGCCTGGATGTGTTCGATGACATCACTAATCGCTGCAAGATATGCCGTCGGCCTCAGAAACCTGACCCGAACTCTGCTATCGAACATAGCGTCAGAAAGCGATTGATTGTGCAGCTATCATGCTTAGCGTTGTTGCCGCCTAAAACATTTGGTCAAGCTCCTGAATTGAGTATTTTTGGTTCATTGATGCCACACCTAGGGGATCTATATCTGTCCGGCGAAGAAGCAAGTTCATTTCTCCCGAACCTTTCCTCCGATAATATCGGGAATGACTTGAACCCGCTCGGAATTGCTCTCTCATTTGAAGTGAGATTGTACAGACTAGCGGATGTGGTGAAGTGGTGGTTCCAGCGTTTCCAATCCATTGAAAAGTACCAGAAAGCCATCTTGAACAGAATAGAGCAAGAACTTGAAGAGGCGGTTTCACACATGCCTTGCAAAAACCTTTACAGACGGCTTGTTGAGTTTTCTGAATGCTTTCACGGCGCTTCAAAGAGAAATGCACGCCTCTTGCCATCCCTGGCAAAGGATATGCAGATCTTTAGTATACCTCGGTTCCCTATTACCGGATGGGCCTATAACCCCTACTACGTTTGGGAAAACATGTACGACCTTAAAGGGCCTCCGATTGATGACCTGTGCGCCAGCGATATGTGGATTAATGCAACCATTAAAATGGCACCTTACCATTCGGTTTTACTGTTCCTAATCAATGGATCGATACGGACGTCGCGAGTAGAGGATTACTTCATCGCCATCATGGAGTACGAAGAGTACTGGGAAAGTCTTCCCCATTCCAGGCGACCAAGTCGTGCAGCTCTACATATTGGATTGGGAGACTATCTGCTCTCGTTAGAACCAGAATCGAATCTTCAAAAGGAACTGAACAACGTGGACCTATACAACGCAATGTTGCAGTTTGGCCATGAACTTGTTCCAAAAGAATCCTACAGCCTATTGCAGAGGTTCTCCACACTACTACTATCGGTTTTCGGTTCAGTTCTGTTATTTTTAAATACTACCATAGCCTGAGAATCGAAGCTGAAAGTGCTCAACCCACACGTGTCTCAGACCCCGTCTTATTGTTAATGGCATCTATGTTTTCGCTTTTTCTTCATCAGCACTGTATGTTATTCATCACCTATTTAAATTCAGTCAAAACTTTCTTAACCGCAGTTGCCGCACACATCTGTTTTCCACGACATTATTCGGATAGAATGGATTTATAGAAAATAAAAAGGTCCAAGGAACCCCTAATTATGTTATCTCATGAACTTTGAACCTTCCAAGTTGGAAGGCCATTGCTCATCCGAGATGTGCTAGAGCTGTCGCCAGTTAGTTGTAGAACGTCAGTACCGTCGGTCAGTGTCTTGCTGAAATGGAAATAGTTCTCCCCCGGCTCCCGCCACACAGCAACGCAAACTCTTGGTTGTGTAACAATTCTCATAATTATTATAACAACAAATAACGAGGGCGCAGGAGGAGAAAGACAAAAAGACTAGACTGAAAACCACGACGGGAAAAGATACCCGAGAAAAGACACGAAGAAACAACAAAAGAACAAGCAATTGTAATGGGTAGCCGAGTGGTAGGCGCGGTGAAATCAACAAGAATTACTTTTATTCTACTTTCAGGTACACACCTGAGATATAATTGTTAGTGAAAGAAGAAGCGGCAAAATAAATAACTTTCTCTCCGGTGCTCACCTAGAGGTTGAATCCTTCTTCTTCGAGTTAGCTTTCATTGCTATCTAATCTAATCTAATCTAATTAAAACAGAAAAAGCGCAGCTGCTTTTATGCAGCAAACGCCGTACGCTTATATGCGAAGATACACTAAAATTAATAATATACATAAGGTCGCTCCGTATTCCTTCCGTATTACTTCCGTATTACTTCCGTATTACTTCCGTATCAGCCAGGCAGGGATACTACACCCTCCCTTCCTACAGATAATCACGCCCTCGTGATTTTCCAAAAAATTAGTGAAGAGTTATGAACACAGCGTCAACCGGAAGATGGCAAATTATATCGGAAATGATAACGTTTAGAGTAGACAGAAGAAATGAACTGATAACAAATCATAAAGTAGAAGCACACCAGGTTCACACGATCTCACGGGGTCAAAAGGGGAAAGAACTGTCCTCCAAATAGGACCTGAAAATCCACAGCACTCTTGCTGCACAACGCTGGCACAATCCGCCAGGAACATCGCAGTTCAAAAACCGAACTGAATACACTATAACTATAAGGGGCTTTGTCACACACATTGTCCCACGTTAGCTGGGTAAGCCGTGGCTCACCATGATCAGACGCCTACCAAACTAAACTGGATTCACATACTCGCATAAAGGAAGACTGAAGAGAACAGGGAGACTGAAGGAAGACAGGAAAGAAAATGCCATACCTGGAATCAGCGTTAGTAACCACGGCGGCGGCTGGAGCTACAGCGGAGGGCGAGCCAGGTTTTATCTTCATCTTGGTTGAGCCGGTCACTCAGAGCGGCTAGCTCGGCGTCAGACAAATGACCTGATTGACCTCCATCCTCGTCTTGAATCGTGGTCTTCACATTGTCGATAGCATCGCTTTGCGCGACGTAAAGAGTGATGGTCTAGCCAGGAATAGTGTTGACGAAAATCTGCATCCCACCATGGAGGCGAAGTACCAAATGAAGAGTGGGCTCCTGCTTCCGACTGCGTGCCCGCGAAAATCAAACGCTGCTGGTCTTGGGGAATACACTACTTGTCTTGGGTACCAGCCTGCCTGTTGTCGTCCTCATCAGCTTCGCCATCACCACCGGTAGTATACATGTAGGTAGCGGGTCGCTTGGAATCGCCATCGGAGTCTCCAGTGTGTGCCGTGCGGAGAGAAGGGTGATCCACGCTAGCACCCTGACTGAGCTGCAGGCTAATAAGCAGTGCCAGGCCGAGGAAGGCAAGAAACATGATTCTCATCTTGATTCGTCGCACGGAGCTGTAGTGGGTTGAGCCATCGGAGTCTGGGGTCGAATCACGTTGTTTTATTTAAAACTACACCGCTGCCACCAATGTAATGGGTAGCCGAGTGGTAGGCGCGGTGAAATCAACAAGAATTACTTTTATTCTACTTTCAGGTACACACCTGAGATATAATTGTTAGTGAAAGAAGAAGCGGCAAAATAAATAACTTTCTCTCCGGTGCTCACCTAGAGGTTGAATCCTTCTTCTTCGAGTTAGCTTTCATTGCTATCTAATCTAATCTAATCTAATTAAAACAGAAAAAGCGCAGCTGCTTTTATGCAGCAAACGCCGTACGCTTATATGCGAATATACACTAAAATTAATAATATACATAAGGTCGCTCCGTATTGCTTCCGTATTACTTCCGTATTACTTCCGTATTACTTCCGTATCAGCCAGGCAGGGATACTACACAATAATAAAGCGACGACGATTTGGTATGACCAATCAGGGACTAATAGATACAGAACACATGACCAAGACCAAGACAACCAGTCCATGGACGAATCACACTGTCACACATGACTCTCATTCCCTGACCAAAACTAGCACTGCGCATGTCCAGCATCCGCTTGACAGTCACTCTCACACAGACGGAAGCAGATCCTCACACTCTGACAACACGTATTCTTGCATGCACCACATACCATAAACGTCACACATCACACCATACTCGCACGTACGCTTAGACCATATATGACATCAGACACTGGACTCTACAAGACAAGAACCAAATACAACAACATGCGTAAATCAAAGTCGAACAGAAATCCGCAAAAGTGCAATGTAATCGCATAAGCTGTTTGTTTACTAACTGGTGGTGTTTGTGGACATTATAGCGTAACTTGTAATTCCTTGGGCTTTTTTGTCTTTTCTAGAAACATCCGGGTAGGCGAGTATTTTAATTTGGAATGTATGTTATGCTATGCACTCAGGTTTCTTTTAACGCAACATTATGATTATAGTAGCAGTGGTGAGGCTTTCTTCAGCTTCATTCATAGGTAATAGGGTTTCGGAGCAGACTCGCTCTCTTCCCAAAACTCGATCTCGTTTCTCAATCAATTTTTTACAACGTTTCGGCAAAATTGCCACCATCAGGTATGCAATGGTGTGCAAGTTTGCAAAGGAGCAGTTATATACATGCATTTTGTGGTGCTATGATGTGCTATATCGCAACCACCGTGACGTGCCAAAATCATAAAGATACTGGTCCATTTAAATAAGTATGCTACCAACACCAGTTATTGACAGAAGACAATGTGGTGATAAATTCACGAAAACCCCGCAGTGCTTTCACGCAGACACCTATGCACACACACATACAAACACACATACACACACACTCCAACAACATGATAATGCACAGTGCATTGGTGTATGTTGTGGCAAAAAATACCAGCTAGTATCAGATGTCACCTCAGTGCACACATATCAAGAGTGAGCTATCCAACGCACAATAATATTTTCTAGGTGCGATGTTGAGTAACAGCGTGCGAACTGTCATACTCAAAGGAATCCCCAGCCAGATTTGGTGTTAATTTGTGGTCACGATCCCCTCATCTTTTTTTATCTTAATATTTTCTTCCTTTTAAAAATTGCACCCTATTGTACACATATATTTATTCTCGGAGACCCCCTTGATTTAGGCTTCGGCCTTTGGGGAATCCCTCAAATAATAATAATAATAATAATAATTCAAACAGTAGTTTGGAGGCGGTGGGAAAAACAGTTTCGTAATACGTATTCGCATGCAACGACGCAAATCCACACAATTCAGTAGACACTTTTTCTATCAAACGTTTTCTTTCCCTTCTCTTCAGGATAGTACAGGGAATGTTGGAAATTAGAAAAACACATAACTATATAGAGAATGAAAGAAAGTAAAAGTCAACACTTCAACATAGGTGTTAAAAATGATTAAAGTGTTAAAAACTCAAAAACAAACAGCTGCAAGTTGTAGACAAACACGTTGAACACATCAGGGAACACTTGTCACACTTTCACGAGGTGTGACACCAAACAGCTGCAACGATAACACATTCTCCTTCTGTACACATAGTTCTGGATCTAGTTTACGAATATACAGAGCTTCTAACACAGCAAGATGTAACTTAGACCTTCCACGAGTCAAAATCGAAAAGATATCATCACTATACAACTTACGACAACTAGCACTTCTTCACCTTCTTCAAGAAGAACTGAGGCGGCTCACATCAATTTTGACAAACAATGGATACCCCTCGTCACTACTGACAAAACTTATTAAAAACAAACCAATCACGCAGGATCCGAAACCATTTGGACCGGACAGGTGCCCCGTGGTACTACGCTTACCCTGGGTGGGTGCTGGTTCTGCGCGCGTCGAGAAGGAGGTGCGCAACATTGTCTGTTCGTCTTACCCGTGCGTGAAATTGTATTTAGTATTTGGAACGACGCGTGCGTTCAGTGTGAAGAAGGACGTTCTACCTACCCTTAGTAGAAGCAACCTTATCTATTTTTTTCAGTGCCGAGAATGTGAAGATCGGTACGTAGGTAGAACCCTTCAACACCTGGGCGCACGCATCCGTCAACATGTGCCGTTAGGTCTTGTCCCTGTTGACGCTCGTGGTACTCGTCCTCGTCGTGGCCGTCCTCCAAAATGTGCTGTGCAGTCCGATACTGGAACGCCTTTGTCTGCGTCCAGTGTAGATGTACGCATGCGCGCCTCCGCCTCGACGGGCGGGGAGCTTGGCCCATCTCAGTCAAGCGTGAGGAAGCGAGGGAGACCGTCTCGAAAACCACCCAATGTGACACTGGAGCTCATAGACACCGGAAGAGTTACCAGAAGCAAGGTGAAGAGACGGAGTACTGGTGATCTGAATACGTCGATAATGGAAGTGACAACAACGATCAACAAGAGGAAACGAGGAAGACCAAGAAGTGACACGAAAACGGCCATGAAATCAACAAAAACGGACATGAAATCAACGGACGTTGGAGGTGTGGACCGGAGCAACCAATCAAACAAGCCTAACGGAAGAGAACAACGGCAGGCGTCAAAGGTGACAGAGCTAAGTGATCGGACATCGTCCATCAAGCATCATTTGTCGGGCAGTGCTAGTTGTCGTAAGTTGTATAGTGATGATATCTTTTCGATTTTGACTCGTGGAAGGTCTAAGTTACATCTTGCTGTGTTAGAAGCTCTGTATATTCGTAAACTAGATCCAGAACTATGT